ACTCCTGGGGTTTTAAAGCATCTAATGTGCTGCAATTCAATGTTATCAGAGTGCGGCTTACCACACTTTCTGTGCCTTGTATTAAAAAGCTAGAACTCTGGAGTGTATTCCCTGTTCTGTGTAGAAGGGAAGGTTCTTTTTCTATTAACACTATTCAGTGTTACTTACATCTAGAGCACAGATGTACAAGCTACAAAATTTAGATCTAGATTTCAACCACCACAAAGTGTGGAGGTGCTCAGATTTGCCTTCGTTATAGTCTATCAGAAATAAAGGCCAGCCACCAAATTCAGATTCATACTCAGACATTGAATCCTCCCAACGCTGGGGGATCTCTCACAAAGAGGAAAAAGACCTTTCTGCCTGTAAACTATCTATGGTTCTAATGTTCCGGCCGATTATCTCTATTTTAATCAAAATGCCCTTTCCCAGAGTATAGCTGAAGTTATACGCTGCTCCTCCAAACAAAGGAGGTTTTAAATAAAAGTAAAACATAGTAGGACTGGCTTTTTCAAGGCAAGAGATAAATGAAGACTACAAGCTAAGAAACACAAGAAATATAAATAACAAATTAGGCAGAGATGTAATCAAATGGGTGCCTGGCTCAACATAATGAATCTGAGCTATTGTAGCAACAAGTTGATGTTCCCTAGGAAACATCATGTGTAAATCTTCCTATATGGAATCCAGGAAATGGGGCATGTTAAATTGATCTTAATTCTTAGGAACTTAGTGGCATTCCAGTCCTAAATGCCAAACTTTCAGAAGTTCATGCTATGGGCCAGCACACAGCAGGGCTGAATACTTATCTACATCCTCCCCCCTTGGGTGATTTGACCCTCTCCCCACGGAGTGCTGGAAGAAGAGTATTTCCTTGCTGTATCCTATGCAGAGCCAGAACCAGTCTGGCTTTCTTTGACTTGCAGCAAGTACCTGGGATAAAGGGCAATAGAAAGATCTAGTAATTTCTATAGGATTTTTCCTCATATTTTAACAGACAGGAAATACAGGATTAATTTCAGTCTAGTGTATAGCAATCAGAACACATGCAGCAACTTTTCATTCTACCTGAAGGAAATATTTAGTGCTACACCCTCTATTGGTTTCAGTGGAGCTCCAATGCACCTTAATGGAGCTGTGTTCATTACCCCAGCTGAGGTCCTTAAAATCCAACTTCCAGTCAACCTGTTTTACAAATATTTAAATAACAAGAAGAAAAAAATTGCTGCAGAATGAAGAGGTAAATTATGAATGAGAAGAAAAGTACATTGATAAATATCCCCCTGGCATGCCAAGTTATAGCTAAACTACAGAAACATGTAAGAGGGCCCGTCTTCATTGCAACAGCTAGCCTGAGCTAGGATACTCAAGATACTCTATTCCAACAAGTGAGGGTGATGACCACACTGCAAACAACACTGGAGCTTCAGAGTGATTGTATTAGCATCCCATGAGTTCTTGTAACTATAGCTGCTGCATTCCTACTGAATTACCAGGTCCAATGTCAGCAGCACCCCAACTTCAACCCACCCAAGAAGGCCAGCTGGCAGGAGTATAAAGCACCCCTTAACTCAGGGGTTTTCAAATGGGGGAATCGTAACCCATCAGGACGTCGTGAGATTATTATGTGGAGGGCCATGAGCTGTCAGCCTCCACCCCTAAACCCCACTTCACCTCCAGCATTTATAATAGTGTTAAATATAAAAAATGTGTTTTTAATTTATAAGGTGGGGTGGTCACTACTACAGAAGTTTGAGAACCAGTGACCTAACTTAAGCCAAAGACAATACTGTGTGTAAGGGAGCTGGGTTAGAGCAAAACTCATGTTATAGTTTGAGCTATCAATGCAGTGAAGACAAGCCCATAAAAATTTAGAATTCAGACAAGGGGAATATCTATCTCCTTGATAGTGTGGAATTGTTCTCTATGAGATATTTCTAGTGCTTTGTCCAGACTGCTTTTAAATAACCTGAGCTATGAGGCTTCCACTACTTCTTGGGTCTGAGATCTCACAGTGGAGAAGTCTTTCCTGATATTCAGATTCAATTTTCCTCCTCTTAATTTCAGCCCAAACGGTCCCTTAGCAGGTTACCAATAACAGAGAAAACAGGTGAACTCCGGTTTCACGGAAATAGTAGTGAATGTCTGAAGCCTTAAAATCACAATTTCAGAATAACGGATTTTGGATTAAATAAAAATTTGGATTCAGGACAAGACACAAATTTCAGGCAACATGCAGATTCAGATATGTGGCGTTTGGAAAATCAGGGTTTGCCTGAAATTAAATAAGTTAATAAATAATAATAATAATTGATATTTTACTAAAGAAGTTAAACAAAAGCCAGTATTCTTAGACAATTGGTCATAAAATTGATATTTTGAGAAATTCACTTGGTTTGTTGGAATTTTTAGGACTCTGATATTCCTTTGCAGCTTCTCCTGCAGTACTCTGGGCAGGGACTGTCTTCTTTGTACAGGACCTAGCACAGTGAGTCCCCAATCTTTGGTTAGATTCCAAGGTGCTATCATAATAAATAATATTAAATATATCTGGCACTGGGATGATCCAGCTGACTGAGAACTGGAACATTTATAGCATTATGTAAGTAGGAGGACATTTTGATTTCAACTCAGGGTTTCCAAATCAGGTTTTGAAAAGCAAAATGTTGAATCCCGGCCAATGGGAGTGTGGATCCGGTGCTCGGGGCAGGGACAGTGCATGGAGCCCCGTGGCCCCCCGCCTAGGAGCCAGATCTGCTGCTGGCCACTTCCGGGCGCAATGCGGTGTCGGAACAGGTAGGGACTAGCCTCCCTTAGCCAGGCAGCACTGCCAACGGGACTTTTAACGGCCCGGTTGGCGGTGCTGACCAGAGCCGCCACGACCCAGTGCCTTACATTTCACGACCCAGTACTGGGTTGCGACCCACAGTTTGAAAACCACTGGACTAGATTATAATGACCTTAAAATCTGTTCATTTATTCTAAACTGCACCCGTGGGCCTCCTTTGGGACAGAGGCCATTCCTCTTTTTATTTTCAATGTACTCTTTGCTAGAGCTGGTTGAAATTTTTTGAATGAAAAAGATGGAGGGGAGTAATCAAGAAGTGGTGGGTTGGTTTTTTGTTTTTTTGAAAATGAAACACTTTGCAAAAAATATTGACTTTTAAATTTTTTATTTTTACATTTGATCAATTTTTTTTATCCAAAACATTATCAAAATCATTACTGAAATCTTGCATTGACCCCAAACCCAACACTTTCCATTCATGTTTTTCTTTTTGTCTTTTGTCCATCCAGCTCTAGTTTTGCCCTCTCTGATACTTCCAGCTTGTATCAGTTCAGTTAATGAGTTGGCCACACCAGGATCAAGAGATAATTCTCAATGTTGCCAACACAGTTGTCTCCGCATAAGAAGTTTACATGATTATAATGGGGCATGGAGGGACAAAAATATTATTCAGAGAGCTAATGTCAAGGTGAGCCTATATTTATACATATTTCCATTGGTGGTGGTAAGTGATTTCCATCTGACTTTCTTACCATCCGAGAGATCAATATTTGGACAGGTGTTCAGTGTACACCTCTCATCTGCTCCACTGGTATTGTTTGAGCACTGTGGTCAGACAAGGCAGACATTTCCTTTCACAGTTGGCTAATGGGTACAATCTTCTCATTTCCATATTTAAATACACATATGTGTGCTTATCATCTTTGATCCTCTATATCGCAGTACAGACTACATCATCCAGGGCTCATTCTTATGGTTGCTTTTACAATCTTTTATTTCAGAAGAATGAAAATGGGGAGAGAGAAAAACTAACCTAATTTGGTTCCCAGACAACTGAATTGTAGCAATTTTATACATATGGGGCCTGATACTGATCCCCTCGCACAATCCAGCTAGTACTTCACTCTGTGAGTAGCCCCACTGATTTGAATGAGACACTGACCGATATGGTAATTTCTTCCATAATCTTGGGAGACCTTATTAAGTTTAAATATCTTTAGGGATACACTGTGTTAAAATGAAAAGTTTATGTATTATGCCATAGGTCATATAGCCATAAGCCAGGATTGTATGTAACCTCTTTAGGGGAAGATGTGATGTGAGGCCTGGGAGTTCAAAGGTCCATATTGAAAATGTGCCGGAGAAGAATAGACTTTGGTCACAATAAGTGTGAAGTGTATTTCCTGGGGAATACCTAGGGAGAGGTTAATGCAAATTCTCCTTCCCCAGTTATGTAAAAACCCAGCGTTTTGAAGCTACAACCTGAGGAGTGGGTCATTGTCTGCTGATTGCCTGTTCATGGAGATTGGAGATCAAAGGCACAAGCTGTATAAAGTTGTGGTTTTGAAGGACTAACATCTACCAGAGCCAAAGGTTGGAGTTGGGGATGACCTCTAATCAGCTTTTTAGCATGCATGCACAGGTTCTTTTACATTTTTAATGTGTTTTGTCTGTAATACTTTCACCTTAAGAATAAATGTGCTTGCTTAGAAAGAACTATCTGGTAACTTATAACTGCAAGCAATACACTGGTCATAGCCTCTAGAGGGAAAGCAAAGTGCAAACACTGGCCTTTTAGGCAGTCTGGCTTGCTGGAGATGTCACAGTGTAAATCGGGGAGCTGTGCAGCCTTAATACCCTAGTCAGCAGGGAACAAGACAGGGGTTTCAGCCCAAGAAAGGTGACAGCTGAGGAGCCGGGAGCCTAGACTGGGTGCCCTTGGTAGACCATGAGGAGGGGAATGCAGGTGCAGTTACCCTGAAACTGTAACAGAGACTATTCACAGAATAATATTATCACACAATTTCAGCAAGAGCATCAATGTCTGGCCCATAGTGTTTTAAGCATCACTTCACCCATCTTCAGGGTCTTCCTCAGACTACAGCAAAATGAGTACATACTTCTAATCTGTTCTCACCTTCTTGGTTAAAGAAACAAACAAACAAAAACGCTGACAATTTTGACAAGATGGTTAATTAATGGCATTACTTACAGTTGCATGACCAGGTACAAGTGGTTTGGACTCTCATATATGTCTTCCAGTGCAACTATATTTTCATGTTTTATTCTGAAAAGCAATAACAACAACACCAAAAGGTGAGCGCAAGGTCAAATGGTGAACTTTAAGCAGCTGCCCAACAGAAAGCTATTTTTAGTTAGATGTTACTTGGCGCTTGCGATTTACACAGTCAGAACTGAACCCAGTTCCGTATAAGCTGTCAGGAGTGCCTGGCAGCCCAGGAAACTGTTATTACTTAGCTAGCAGGAATGTTTCATGATGAAATATTTAAAGCATTAGACTTTTTTCTTCTCCTGTCAGATGAATAAAATGAACATCCAAGGTGGTATTTGGATGTTGAGTTCTCAGGGCAGTAGCACATCAGAGTACAGGGATTTGCAAACTGTAGATTTACTGAAGCCAGTGTGCAGTTAGTAGCCAAGAGTGCAGGGATATGCATATATACAGATGCTGACCGCAGTGTTGACATTTGAGAGGCCACAGCTGTACAAAATCCTCATACTCCAAGTGGCTCCATTCCAACACAACACCCCATATACAGCATCTTCTCAGCACTTCCTCATAACATTGTCAATCAGAACAATATACTTTATGCTTCAACGGCGCTTTCCACCCACAGATTTCGAGCACCATAATAAATTAATTATTCAAACCATGACTCCCTAGTATTGTCATGATCCTCATATAGAAACCTTCTTATAATTTAAAAAGCCAGCTGAGTAGTTGGTATCAGGGCACAGATCACTGCTGCTTGGTATCACTGGGCCCCTGCTTTGTTAAAAGTGTTAACTTTTAGAGGAGAATCACCTCATCAGACAACAATCTCATTAACTACTTGGAGCAAATCTTCTCTGGGATTATTGCTTAAGCAATTCCAAACAATTTCTAAAGCATAAATTTAATTTGTATTAACCCTAAACTTAAGACCCTAAAGAGACTAACCATTTAACTGCAAGGGCTATAATATTAATGATACAAAGTGGAGAAGATTGCCTTAAAGTGTGAGAGAAATCCCTGAAAAACTGTAAGCAGAATGTGCTGATTAAAGAACATACACACACTCACACACACAGGCAGAAAGAATAGCAGAGGACACTCATCAGTGAATGGTAAACTCGGTAAACTTTTTGGGGCATAATCCACCCCAAACTTATGAGAGATGCAATTAGGTACACAAAGCCCAATACTGAGCAGCGCTAAAGCACCCGACACTCCCACTGAAGTTGATGAAAGTGCAGAGTAGTCGGCATCCTGCAGGCTCTGCCTCATCATAATGTGCACATATTGGGTTGGTCCAGCTTCCAGTGAGATCACTGGAAAGATTGCCATAGACGTCAGTGAGAGAGAGAGAGAGAGATCAGACCTACATTCAGGAGTGAAAAGCCACATTCATATAAATGACAAAAAGTAATGATCTGCCTTAAAACCTCCATATTCAGGAAGTTCCGTATCAGTGGCGTATTAACCGAAATCTAACGCGCTGTAGGATATCATACAGCAACATATGTGTGGCTATAGGTCTTCTGCTCTCCGGAAGGATCTGAAAAATCCTTTGTTGCTCCAGTAAATTGTCCAGAGAAACAGCATCATAGCTCAAGCATTATAATATACATAAGAGAGCACTGAAGAAGATAAGCTTTTAAGTCTTAATTCTGGTGTGCAGGAATGGATGTCTAGTATCTTGGCTTTTCTATGGAAATTTTCCAAAATTATATAGAGCAGCTGCCTTAAAAAATTTCTCCAGTCACCTGTCCTGTCTCATCCCAAAACTCAAAAGATGGTAACAGGAAAGCAGGACTCCCTGGTGCCTGATTTTCATGATGAAATGATGAAAGAGGCAGTAACTGAGCAGATCAACCAGCTGTGTGTTTTTTCCAACCCTCGCTGACTTGATGTCATTTACATTCTACGCTGGATTTGTTTGTATTTAAATAAATACACAACATCAGCCCTCAATATGGATCGAGAGTTTGTAAAATTCCATTAGGAAGAACACAGCCAGTTTTGCCGCAGTGGCTCCATCAGATCAGCAGAATCGGCAGCTGCCTGGCCTGCAGAACATGTAGGAACCATTTATCTGGTGTGGCTCTGTGATGTGACAAGCAGGCTTTTTTTTTCAGTTTGCCTCAGGCAACTCAAGACCACAAGGGCCTGATTTTTGGAAGTACAGAGAAGCCACAATGCTACTTGAAGTCAATGGCTCAACACCTCTGAAAATCAAGCCCTAAGGCTAGTGCTATATTTTTGAGCTAAGGGAATAGAAAGCATCTCCCAAACAGTCAACTTTTATTTTTATCCTGGCAGGGTGGAGGAGGGCTGGAAGGTCTACATTTGAAGTTAAAAACTCTTCAAAGAAAAGAGAAGTTCACAATAAATGCTCATAAAACCTGCTACGCTAGCAAGAGCGGCTAGAGAAGGCATATGTGCTTGTTACCAATTAGCTGGCTCTCTCAATGAAGGCCAAAGATGATCAAGCTCTATACCTTCCAGCAGAAATCACTATAATCAATGGGAATTACTGACTGTACATCTGCCGTGGCATTCAACTTGAGCAGAAATATAATTTAAAAAACAACAGGAAAGAGAAATTGCTTCAAGTTCTGATAAAGAATGATTAAACTTTCTTCACTGGCGCACCCACCTGATTGTGGTAATGGACATGTGTAAGCAGGATAAGCGACAAGCCTGGTGTACCAGATGTGTGTGTCTCTCTCTCTCTCTCTCAGCACAATTCCCTGGCTCAGAACATCCAGAAAATGGCTGGATACACCAAGTATGTCCTTGCATTCCATTCACTTGAATAGATGTTCTGTTAGATCAATTGCTGAGGATTGTTCAGTGGGAATTAAGGAGGTACTTGACAGTGTTGGAGCAAGAGAGAGCTTGGAATGGTTTAATTAGTTCTGCTTTTATCCTGGGCTAGTAGTGCAGCGTGAATCTCAAAAAATTCAGAGGATTCATTCTGATAAGCCCTAAAATGTCCGGATGCATTTCCATGTGTGATTTATCTTATCTTCGGTGCTTACCTGGTCCCCATAAATGCAGTATCTGAGCACCACACAGTCTGATGTATGTATCCTCACAACACCTCTGTGAGGTAGGGCATTGCTATTATTCCCATTTGACAGATGAGGAACTGTGGCACAAAAAGACTGACTTGTCCCAGGTCACACAGGAAGTTTATGGCAGAGCAGAGACATAAACCCATGTTAACCACTGGCCATCCTTCCTCTCTTGAACTTTCCTGTTCCCTCTCCTCTCTTGCATAGTCATCTCCTTCCCTCCTTCTCACTCTAATTTAAGGTTTCGCGTACCAGTAATACATTGTAACATTTTTAGAAGGTCTCTTTCTATAAGTCTATAATATATAACTAAATTATTGTTGTATGTAAAGTAAATAAGGTTTTTAAGTATCAGAGGGGTAGTCGTGTTAGACTGGATCTGTACAAAAGCAACAAAGAGTCCTGTGGCACCTTATAGATTAACAGACGTATTGGGTATTCACCCATGAAAGCTTATGCTCCAATACATCTGTTAGTCTATAAGGTGCCACAGGACTCTTTGTTGCTTTTTAAGGTTTTTAAAATGTTTAAGAAGCTTCATTTAAAATTAAATTAAAATGCAGAGCCCCCCAGACCGGTGTCCAGGACCCAGGCAGTGTGAGTGCCACTGAAAATCAGCTTGCATGCTGCTTTTGGCACGCGTGCCATAGGTTGCCTACCCCTGTCCTAGAGTATGCTACCCGACCCTCGACTTCATGGGAGAGTCCTGATTGCCACACATCCGTTCCACTTCCTGCTAACTGGAAGAGATAAAAAATGGACCCTGTATTTATTCTGAGCTAGACAACGTATTGATGTTCCAGCACTACTTAGTGACACAACATTATGACAGGACCATGGCAGTGACAGCACAGTGTGTAGATACCATAGAGCTGACAGTTTAGATTAGAAAGATAATGTCCACAAAGAAAAATACCTTGGTTAAAAAACCGTTATGGTTGCTTTAAAGAAACCTCAGCCTACACAAATCATTACAAAATGTGTCCAGTTAAGGCATCCTCCAGTAACAGACCTCGGCCCTCCCACACATCACATTCACCATTTTCACAGACAAGGTACTGTCCCTCTATAGACAAACCCTGTGCACCTCCATCATGCAGGCAAAACACACACCATGTTGTCCTCCATGATTAGTGTCCCTGTCTGTGAAATGGATTTAATACTGCCTACTTCACAAGGTTCATGAAAATGGTTCACACAACATTTGTAAGGTGCTGAAATAGAATGAGGATGTCAATAAATAAATCAAAGGAAAAGGCCTCTAGTCTCACTCCATCATTCTGCATCTCAAATACCAGGCACTAAAGGGCTTTTCCAGCTAGTGGAGAAAGGCATAACAAGAACCAATGGCTGGAAGCTACAGACAGACTAATTCACATTTTTACAGTGAGAGTGATTAACCATTGGAACAAACTACCAAGGACAGTGGTGGATTCTCCAGCTCTTGATGACTTCCAATCAAGACTGGCTGCCTTTCAGGAAGATATGGTTCAGTCAAATAGAAGTTACTGGGCTCAATGCAGGGGTAGTGGGTGAAATTCTATATAGTCTGTGATATGCAGGAGGTCAGACTAGACAATCTAATGGTCCATTCTAGCCTTTAAAAAAAGCTATGACTCTACTTACATCCCTTTTCCAAAAACAAAGGCTAGGAAAACAAAGGAAGGCAGTTACTGTATCTGCATCAGCACTAAGAGAGGGGAACAGTGCACTTGAGCAGCATCTAACACCTCAGCTGAAGCATCAAACAACCAACCTGAGTTTATACCAGCAAATTGATATGAGCAACCAAAGTGCCACCGACTACTATTCTAAAAGTAGCAGTGTACAGACAAGAGCTCCCAGGAGCTGCTTGGATTTGTTTTAAAACTTATCTATTACAATGCACTAGGTACAGGGTGGGTTTCCTTTGCTCAGTATTTATTTGTTTGTCCTGTCCTGTTGTAAAACAACTGAGAGCAGCTTTGATAAGTGGAGCAATAGCAG